GCACTATCAAATCTGCTTGTTTAAATATAGTGCAAGTTAAGTTCGAATATAGTGAGCGTCCTGGTTGATGCTGCAACCTTCTCTGTGACTGAAAATAATGACATATGATACGAAGTGAAAATGGTCAACATCACACCAGCTAATTTGTGGTTCTCTAGTCTCTCTGAATCCGCAACTCGCACCTTATTCCAGTCCGCCATCATTGTTGACAGTACCCTTTCTTGTATTGTAGGAATCCAAGCGTCACTGAAATCATGAGATACGAGACGTTCCCAGTGTTTTCAGAATGTCTCCTTTCTGACTGGGCAAGGTCATCTTACTACAGCTAGTTAGGAAATAAATAATATTTTTCAGCTTTTATGTGTCCTATATTGTGCGCTATACTACTAAATACAGGATTCCTTCAGGAGTACTGGGTCTACTATTAGACTTCTTTTCTTGAGTAGTATATATATATATATATTATATATATATATATATATAATATATATAATATATATATTGTAGACGTTCTTGCAGGCTATCTTTGATGGATAAATGTCCAGAGAGGAAGTGTGTTTTTTTTCAAGATGGAGAGTGAATCTGATTCTCGGGGTTTCAGGTCATTGTTTACAGTACAACGATATTAGTTTTATCAACTGGAAGACTGTGTGTATGACAGAAACATCATCACTGTTACCTGGAGCGAGCCTGACTGCTGGGTGAAATACTTGCAACAAACGAAGCCATATGACGTATTTAGAATATTTTGCAAATGTGGTTATACAGAGATGGGTGGAATTCATGACCTAACTGAGTACGACGTATGGATAATAAAATAACTCTTCCTGACAAACAAATTACTGACAGAGAAGGGATACATCAGTATAGCATTGGCAAGAAATTGGTTTACTGTCCTGTTATGTGCAGCACAACTATAAATGCTGTATCAGTGTCTCAGTATAAAGGGAATCTAAAGAACTTTGGGCACAGAGTAGGATTTTCATATTACTGTGGTATCAGAGACAGCGTTTGACATGCACGAGGCAGATTACTTTGGAGGCAAGAGAGAGAGAGAGAGAGAGAGAGAGAGAGAGAGAGAGAGAGAGAGAGAGAGAGAGAGAGAGAGAGAGAGAGAGAGAGAGCACTTTGGAGGATGTGATGGGAACTAAAATGACAAAGATTTACTCCAGTATACGATTAGGGTCTAAGGAGGTAGTGGTTTCTTCTGAGGATTTGTCGAAGATGCAGGAGGAGAGACTGTTTCGGAGTATGCGATTGACTACTAACTTAGGGCTCCTAGAAGAGTTTCCACTGAAGTCAGAAATCGTCGATGTTGTGGCACGGTGAGAAGAGGGTTGGTTTTGCGTGGGCGTGGCACTATAACACTGATGGCCTTGTAATGTCGTTGAGTTGTGCTGTGGCAAAAGTTGTATTTCAACAAGGCTGAATCTGCTGAATACTTGGGCATTCGTCAGCAGGATCGTGGTTTAGTTTGATTCGCCAAGTGTTGATGCTTCAACTTGCAGTGTCTACTGAAGTACTCATCACGGAAGCAATAATCGACCAACAACGTGTCAACAACATATGATGCAAAAATAGCAGCTGGCAAACCCCCTGTGCCGGCGGAGAGAAGCGCGCATAATGTTCCAGTCATCAAAAACCACTTGCGAGTTCTTGTAGTTGCTCAAAGATGCAAGTATTTGCAATGTGTCGATTTGAAGGCTAGGGAAACTAGGTGTGGCTTCCTCCTCCATTGCTTATGGATATGATCAGTACAAGTGCGATAAATGATTCTGTTGACACTACAATTATGAGTAACAAGCACAAGAAAGGTTATCAACTCTATCAAGTAGATAGACGGAAAAAGAGGCGATTGCAATGGAAGAGTTACTGGATCAGTTCAGTGTCCGAAGATCTGGTTTGATGGAGACACAATAATACAGGCTGATGGGTAAAACGCTTTGGGTCGGAGCTGTCGAAAGGAAATCCTTGCTCAAATAATTAGCGGTGATGGCACAAGAAATAACGATGATAATATAAATTGCATTAGGCTAAGAAATACACATAAAGTACAGCATGACCCACGGTCACTCTATCTCTCTCCCTCCCTCCATCTCTCTCTCTCATTCCAATTCCCATTCTCTCGTCTTCAATACACATACTAATCTAGACTGATGCATTCAAAATAAAAATCTCGAGCAATAACTGAGCTAAAGCCAAATTTATCCAACTTGAAGGAACTCAGTTTAACAACACTTCCAAATTACATAGATATATATTAACAAATTGACAGTGATGCTACATCTAAGTAAATCTACGTTAAATCTTCAACTATACATATTTCAAGAATTGTATTCTTAGTATGACATTAGTCAGTGTAACAAGCATACTAGCATTGCACAAATATAAAAGCAGTGACAATATTATTGATGATGAAAAAAACAACAACACAATTACATGGTACAATAAGTTTTCAAAACAAACACACACAGCACTTCTCTGAACACAAGGTAAACAAAAACACGTGTTCGACTGTTTGCATGTAAAAAGGTATCGTGTCCTCTTACGTTTCTCAATCTTCATAACTCCTCAACAGACAAATCAAACGACTTAGCTGAGATTATATATAAATGTTTTCTAAGTATATCTACATATTTTACGTTACTAATTCTCATGGAGGAAGATGGGGTGGAACTATACAATAAAAAAAAGTTGGAATCACAACACGTGACTATAGGGGACGTTAGCGGCCACCCATCTATCACATATCTCTCAGTTTAACTATCTCTCTCTTTCTCTCACTCTCCCTTTCGCGTCCAAGGGCGTAGGGGCAGCTGGAGGCCGACCTTTCCTTCGCCGAAGTTCAGTAGCATCATAGAGGATCGTGAACGGGATTTTCGGATTCGTAGTTCGTGGAATTTCAGACTCCTCCACGATAAATTCTCTTGGAGTTGCCAATTAGACTTTTATCGTGAAGGAAAATATGCCACCTTCGTATGTGATTCCGTTGTAATCATTCAGGCTTCATAAACGAATATTATTTCATTCGTTGTTCTTATGTTTAATTGGTGTTTTAAATTTCCTATAAAACGGATTAATTTACTCCGGAAATTGTGGTCGAAGAAATACACGGCTTGACACCTCACAAAATGTACACGGTTTGTGACGTCATGTGAACGTCAGAGCTCAACCAGCCAATCAAGAATGAATGTATACCACGATGCTTATCTTCTCATTTTATTATTCAGATAATAAGAACAACTTGGATGAAGTGTGTGGATATGACTTTTAAGGCATGTCTTTTGATCTCATTTCTCCATTTACCCGCAAAAGAAAATCTCCATTGATTTTCCTGCATGTCATGTTTTGACTACCTGCACTATACTTTGGAATAATAAAAATAATAACCTTAAGGAATAATAACTTTATAATAACCAAAAGAGTAGCACAAGTTTCACTGAAAACAGAACTAACGTCGATTTGTGACCGAAGAAACGGCTTCTCTATAAATAACCCTATTCGTATTCAATATATGCATTTGTTGTAATGTACACTCTCCCAGTTACAAATTATTGTAAAAGGAAAGCTATGCGAAAATACCTAAACGATATATATCCAACAAATTCAAAAGCGGTGAACATGTGGCGCGCTGCTTTTAGTTTGGAATTCTCTCAATAGATGGCGTCCAAGCTAACTCTCGGTCGTATAAACGATGACGCAATAGATACACGCACGGTCGCGATAGTATCAACTTTTCCCATACTTTTCACTAATTCGTTATGTGAGCTGTAGGTATTTTGTGAGCTATTTGAAGTGTCGTAAGAACTGTAAAAATAGGGGTAAAGAAATCACCAACTTGGTCCGTAGTTATTTACTCCATGGGGTTATAAAGGCAGCAGCGCGGCAGAAGGAATTGGGAATTTCCACCGTGCAGAGACCATAACACAGCATTACGGGATGGATCGCCTGAAGTATAACATATATTTTCCTCTTTATGGCGATCTTTGTAGCAATTTGTTTATCAATTTATCAGCGACGAGAACACCAACAGATTAAATATCATCGACGAACGAACGCATGCGAATCTGCGCGCTCTCTCTCTCTCTCTCTCTCTCTCTCTCTCTCTCTCTCTCTCTCTCTCTCTCTCTCTCTCTCTCTCTCTCTCTCTCTCTCTCTCTCTCTCTCTCGTCTCCCCTTCCCCCATACCTTCCTTCTCACTGCTTCTTTCCTCTTCCTCCCCTTGAAACCTAATGACAAGCAACATAGCGAGAGCAAATTAAGAAAATTATAGAAAATAATGATACGAATTACAAGGGGAAGCCCGTGCCTTTGATCATGTCGGTAATCTGAGAGGAAGTGACGTCCCTATACGTAATAGGAACTTCGTTATAGTCGCAAGCACATGTCCAAACACGTACCCACGGATAACGCTAATCCACATACACGTAATAAAAGAGGGGTGTAAGGGAGGGAGAGAAGGGGAGACCATCGCAAAAAGTCGTAGGATTAATGGCATGTGGGATTGTCGATTCCCAGTAGGATCCGCAAAATCCCCAGCGAGTGTCTTCCGAGGCGAGTTCCTCCCGCGGTTGAATGAGTCTGTGACGTATTCTCGTGACGTCACTTGAACCGAATTCTGGGTTCGGCGGTTCGTCTCTTTTCGTGTTTCTTTCCTTTGACTTTATTTTTTTTGTTTAATTTTGATGTGTTGTATTATTAAGGGGGTTGAAACGGATGCAATTGTACATCTTTGAAAGAAAAGAAAATATTAAAGTGTTATAGTAGATTCTAAAATTCGGCAAACGATAAAGGATGATGCAATCCTCCATTCAGATGGAATTCACTTGACGGTGATCTAATGATTATCGAGAATATGGACTTTTGCGTATCATATAGACAGAAAAAAATGACAGGACGTGGATGAGATACACATAACGCTGATCTGCTTTCTGGGCGTCTAGATTCCCTAGCGACACCTGGCAACTCTCCATCACTGTATATATTCCCCTCGCGGCTTGCCACCGAAGTTCAGTCTCACTAGAGCAGCGAACCCGACAAGGTTTAAGCGGATCTACCGAGGACTTAACAGGATCTACAGTTCAACGGAAGTCGAACTGAACTTAACTTGTGGTAGTGAGATTCTGATCACGACGGCGGCCTATCCCGAGTATTCGTGTGAGTGGGGTGAGACACTCGGCGCGCTGGACGATAGTCGTTACGGAGCGGGCGTCTCGCCATGCCCACAGACCAATATGGAGTCTCCACATCTCTATGACAGTGCCGACTACAAGAAGGGTGGTGCAAGTGCAGTCAAGGTGAAGGCCGGTGCCCTACTGTACTCTGGTGAAGACTACCTTGCCGAGCTTAGCGCGCCGGAAGTCTCCCTGGACCTGCAGGGTCTGATCGACGACTCCCAGTTCAGCGAGGGCCTCATCCAGGAGATCCAGGGCCTCTCGGTCGACAAGAACAACGTTGGCTCCCGAGGCCTGGGTGTCTCCAACATGTACAACCCCCTGGCCTACTTGCCCCAGCCAGTCCACGGGGCATCGCAGTTCGAACGTCCTTACCCCGAGCGCACGCACGACCGGGGCCCCGTCATCAAGGAGGAGCCCAACGAAGGGAGCCATGAGGTGGCACCCCAGGAGTACAGTGCCTGCGCCCGCGTCGGCCTCGGCGGCGGTGACGGCGGCTACGGGGGAGGGGGCTACAGTACCTGTCCCCCCTACTCCATGACCCCCACCACCATCCCCGGCTCAGACAACCTCTGCAAGTCCCCGATGATGTCCCCCTCGAGCGGCAAGCTGATCGGAGGCTGCAAGAAGCCCCTGGACAAGGGCAGCGAAGAGTACAAGCGCCGACGGGAGAGGAACAACATAGCCGTCAGGAAGAGCCGCGAAAAGGCGAAAGCACGAAGCCGGGAGACGGAGGAGCGAGTCAAGGTAAGAAAAGGATCCGATTCTTGTCGTTTACCTCAATTTCCTTTCGGGGTCGATTTGACCCCCTCGCGTCCGCATGTGAACGCCAGGGAGCTGCGGGCTTGGGGCAGGACGGAGTGCCAGAGGAGGAAAGTGAACAAGTAGAAGTTTGTGAAGTTTGAGAGAGAGAGAGAGAGAGAGAGAGAGAGAGAGAGAGAGAGAGAGAGAGAGAGAGAGAGAGAGAGAGAGAGAGAGAGAGAGAGAGAGTAAGTGACAAACAGGAAAAAGAAGAATGGTTGGATTGTATAAACATAAGGAAAACAAAACGAAATGTGAAGGGAATCACAAATATTGCAGAAAAACACTATACGAAGTTCGGGAATTCGTCATGACTAAGTTTGCTGGAAGGCACCGAGATGGAGGGAGGGGTGAGGGTGAGGGGGGTAGGTGTGCGTGATTCAGTTTGTGTATGTGAGTGTGTTTGTACGTGCGTGAACATGTATGTGCGTGCGTGTGTCGTGGTTGTGGGGGCGGGGCGAAAGAACCCAAACGATGCCAGATGTCTGCGGGGGGGATAACTCGTGCCAGATAGATGAAAGGATTTAGTTGTTATTTGAGTCCAGATGACTTGGCGACGGAGAACTCTTTTTTCTTTTCAATCCTAAGGATGCCCGAATCTAAAGATAATGGTGTAATTCATGACACTGAAAGGAGGTGAATCACAGGAGATACAGAGAAACGTGTTTTGGGGAGCGAGGGCGAGAGAATGGAGAGAGTGAAGAGAGAGGGGCCAGGTAGTGTGTGAGTGAGGGACTCCCACAGGTGTCATCATGTGATGTAGTGACATGAGGCGGGGGAGCGAGGAAGGGGGATGCTTGAAATACCTAACAACAGCTAGTGATTATGACATTTTTTCCCTCAGCTGTTCATCCAAACTTACGAATCGTCCTTTTTCTTTCCCTCTTGAACAGAAACTCATCGTGGACAACGATCGCCTTCACAAACGATGCGAACAGCTGACGAAGGAGGTGGCCGCGTTCCAGAACATGTTTGCCAGCATGCACTGCCTACCTGAACACATCCGGCGGGAGATCAACAAACAGATGGATGCCTTCAACCAGCAGCATCAGAACCTGGTGAACATGTGATGCCGGCAGCACCAGGCCGAAGCCCACCAAGACCTCCCAGCCTGTGCCAGCACCGCCGCCGCCACCACGACCGCCGCCGCCGCCGCAGCCGCCAACCTGCAACCTGCACTCGACGCCTCCCCTCAGTACACGTCTCTGTAACACGGCGGCCAAGCACCTCGTACTCTTCCGCGCTGGCGCAGGCGGGTTTGAGGAGGCCTGGCTACATGATTTAGGACGTGGCCTCCCCTCGCGGGAGGAGGGAAGAGGCCCCTGGCTTCAGGATCAGGCAGCAGCAGCAGTAGCAGAAGGAGGAGGGAGCTGGGAGGTGACCTGCAGCTAGTCACTGTTTCACTGTCCCGGCCATTACCCAGGACCGCATGGGGGAAGAGGAGGAGGAGGAGGAGGAGGAGAGCAGACCAACCAATCTTCGAGAGCCTGACGTCTCGACTTTTTACCTGACGACAACGACGACGACGCAGATGATGATGAAGAGGAAGACTCAAACACGTGAAAATGACAGAAGGTGAAGAAAATGGAGAAAATAAAAAATACATATATATTTATATACACATATAGAGAGAAGAATATATGTAGATACCTAATATATACCTGGGACGGTGATGAAGTTTTCTCCCATGTGGTGCCAACGATGGGTAGGTTTACACAGATTTATCCTCGTGGGCGCTCTGGCGCTCGCCCGCCGTCTTGACTCTTTTCATTGTCCTCTAATGTCGCATCACTAAAGAGAAAAGAGTAAGAAATAAGAATTATTTACAAATAAAGTGTACATATTTATATTGTAGACAAAGGAGATACACAGTTGAAGGTCGGGGGCGGGGCGGCTAGAGGCCGGAGAGGGACCCCAAATATAATATGTGATACAACTCCCCAGGGAGCGCGAGCCCAACGCTCAGTGTACGGCTGAGTGAATGTAAAGTTATAGAAGTATGTGAGATACAATATATTTCGCTATTTTAAATAGAAAAAATCAAATTTTTTGTATTTTATGTTATAATAAAATATAACTTAATAAAAATGTTAATGAAAAGTATAATGTTAATTAAACCCATATTGCTCACAGTGTTATGATGATGTATATAAAATATATCATATACACGCATACATACATTGATATATGTATTATATGTGTATGAATGTTTCCTATTTTGATCCAAATCATACAGGCTCAATAATTGTCTTCTGTAACTTACGTTACTATAAAGTACAAAATGTTAGTTACTCAAACAGCTCAAAGCTTTTTTCAGGCGACCCCAAGTGGGCCCCTTTTGACTTCTTCTTGGATCGAAAGAGGACTTTATATAATTAACTTATTGCCAGTATTGGAATAGTATCAACTTAAGCCAAATTATGATGATATATATCGCATATATATATATTTTTTCTCGCAAGTGCAATTATAAAGAATGCAATTGCTCAGATTATAGATATAACAAAAAAATCAACCAAAACTTTGGTGAATTTTCTTACAGGACGAAATAACCTTGCCTGTGTTACTAGGATATATTAAAATATATTGGCTAGCATTTCTTCTTCAGAGGCGATTCTGTGGCTACTTTGTCTCTTGTAAACACTAACAAAACAAACAAACAGCATTACGTGTATGTTATGTTTGTTAGTGAAGAGAGAGATTTTGGTCCCTTTTTGGGGGGGAGGGGGGCATTAAGCACGTTTGCCGATGGTGCAACAGTATTGGAGATCTTTGTAACTTTTCCGAAGTGGATAAAGTCGTTAGGGGGGTAAATATCCGATACCTTAACAAGAGATGTTTCCCGAACCGCTTCTGAAGGCTCCTATAAATTCTCCCGTTTTCAAAAATATTCCCAAGAGTATATAGATATGTTAATTAAGTAGAGTGTCTTGACAGAAGCAATCATTATTGTAACATTGTGGCCTAGTTAATAATGAGATCTTTTAGGGACTAACTGGTTCAACTGAGAAAAAGTGAGTTGAAAAGTAAGGTGAAGAAAACATATTTGTCTTCTAAACCTTTTCCCTCTTCTCTTCTGCTTGTTCTCTCTTCTTCCTCCTCCTCCTCCTCATTCGTACTACGGAGAACTCTCTTGTTCTTATTTCATCGAGGACTTGGAGGAAGCAGAATGAACAGAAAACAAATAACTCGAGTGTGTGTCTGCGTGTTCACCTTGTCAGTGTATCTGTCATTTGTGTTCAGTGTCCATGATGCCTCCCCCCTCCCCCTCCCCTTCTCCACCTCCCCTACTACTTTCAAGACCCCCCCCCCCGTCCTCTCCCTCCCTTCCTTTTCCCCCCAAAAATCACCAGGGCCCTGAAGTATCACTATTATGTTGCAAAATGTTATGTGTAATTGCTGTAATGCACATTGGATAAGATTGTAGCACACGCACGTTCATTGTTGGAAAAAAGTATATATATTAAGAAAAATAAGGTCTATGGTATAACCTCTCCATGTTCGTTTCCTTACTTCAAACACACACATGCACTCACGAACACAAACACATTCATAAACACATGAATCCACATATACACTGTAGATTTACTCATTAATAACTATAATATCAGTAACCTATAAAATTCGTATAAAACAACAAAGTATCTAAATGGACATAGGCAGGTTACAAGTGTAGGCCTATTCAAAAAAGCTTCAAATCATTGTAAATCTTGAACGGAAGTCTATATCTTCCAATTTTTTTTTCTTGAGACGAATCACTGAGGAGATTTTAGTGATATATGCGAGAGAGAGAGAGAGAGAGAGAGAGAGAGAGAGAGAGAGAGAGAGAGAGAGAGAGAGAGAGAGAGAGAGAGAGAGAGAGAGAGAGAGAGAGAGAGAGAGAGAGAGAGAGAGTGAGTGAGTGAGTGAGTGAATGAGTGAGAGTGAGTTTGTAAATATAATGTATACAGAAAAAATAGTTACGGGAATATATATATATATATATATTATATATATATATATATATATATATATATATATATATG